GGGTGTCATGCGATATTAAATGTGGAAATAAATAGAAAAATTCGCTATCAAAAAACGTTTATGCAAAACACGATGCTTGTTTGTATTCGCTTCGAACCTGTAGTCGGGAACCTCGACTGTCAGTGTGGCACGGTCGAAATAGTATGAGCATTTAAGCGCGTCTTTTCAGTTTCTTGTCTGCCTGGGAAGAAGGACCATGGGGAAGAATCCTTTTAGGTTTGATCTAGTTTAGTGGTACCCTCTATGTCCCCGAAGTACGAGCTATAAAGCCGTTAATCACCTGGGGCGGCTCCCTGGTTAGATCAAGAAATGTGGTGCTCGAAATAAGGACCCAACTTCGATCTGAAGAAAACTACTCTTTCACACTGAAATATTATTTGAGCTACAGAACTGAGGTAGTCGAAATCTAATGTGCATTCATCTGAAGAGGTGCGTACAAAAGTCTGATGGTGAACTCTTCATCATTCTCTCGCTAATCCTTTCTTATTATCCTTTACTCAAACATTATATGACCAGCAACACTAAAGCTTGGTTTAAATTCTTACTTTGGATACAGCTGAGAACAATTCCAACAATGAGAATAGTGACAAGCGATAAATCAACATGCGAGCTACCAAACAGACGCAAGCACTTTCCTGATATACGACTGACTGCGTCTGCTATTCTTGAGTATTTCTTCGAATTTAGATGAACAACATTGGATGGAAATACAGTGTTCGTTTGTCGATATCTGTGTGAGTTTGAATCGATAGCGTCTGGTATAATTGTCAAAAAATCGGCGACAGAATCTGAGATTAGTATTAACATCTTAACAAGATTGTGACGAAATCATTGCGTTATACTCTTTTATCGTTCTTTCAATTTTATTGTGTTTGTCATAGATAACGTTAATCCATGTTTGTCGAACAAGAAAACTATTCAAAATTAAAATGCTGACGGTGAGGGATGAGCGGAGAAATCAAGAACAATACCGAAACATCCATCCAGGCTCCATATTCAGGGTTAAGTTTCCTGTTGTCAAAACTTCAAACTGAATATGGTTTCCACATCTGAATATGTGCACTAATCTATTGATTGAATCTGAAGGTGTGTAAATCGGCTGTTTTATCGTGTGGGTGATCTACAAGAGAATACTCATACCCTCACCCTCAGGAGTCTGAATGCCCAAATATCGTTTGATTCTACTATTGGACAACGTCATTTTCTATAGCAGTCATGTGGATGTTTGCCTGTCTATAGTAGTTCGTGTGGATAAAATAAATAGTGACTAGATCACTTCGTCAAATTGAAAGAGTGAACGAAGACTTTTAAAAAACGAAAAAAAAACTGAGCTCAAAGAGCATAACTAAACATTTGTATTAGAAGAAAGGAAATGATGTCTTTGACGGCATTGATTGCATATATTTTCTTTATAATTCCGCTCGAAAGGATCGTGAATGAGTATCGTTGACATGGACATATTCACTATTGGCGTGGGTCATTGTCCGGATTACCACTTGCTGCAATTGTTGTTTGTGTGNGCATTCTCCCCAGGTCGAACAATCCCATACTCGGATCCCACGTCGGATCTCGTCGGATCCGAAACATGGATTTCCTGGATTTTCTAAGGATCATCATAGAATATAGCTAGAAAGATCGCTCATAAAATTTGCAACAACCGACGGAATTTTTCTAGTCGGATTCCAATGCAATTCCGTTTCCAGGAATCCGATCGGATTTGTTGACCTGGGAGTGTAGTGTGAACTGTTCAAAGTATATTCTCATGCGCGAGTTTCATCACATGTTCTTGTGCTACTATATTGCTTGCATATAAATAGATAACAATGTTTGTTCAATGAAATAGTACAAAATCTTGTTAGACGAAAACTTTCTTTAGTTTGTGATCGACTTGAACTAAAGTTGAATACATCGATGTTCAATAGTGAAACAATTTATAACATCTATTGTTCTTATACATTCTTTTCGAATGTAATGAAAAGAGGTATATTTTAAATGATATCTCATAATAAACAAGATATTTCTTGAATAGAAAACAATGAAATTATACGCTACAAAAGAAAATGACTTTAGTCGAGTAAATTGTCAACAGGATAATTATCGATTCTTCGTATAACAATTGTAGAGAATATTATTAAATTGTTTTTATGTTAAAACTTAGTTCATCATATCCTCATCGAAAGCTCACTTTCTGTTACTTGCTCACAAATGAAGTATATTCGCCTTCTAATATACGACTTCGTGTGTGAAGAAAAATGAATCGATCAAACTAATTGTACTACGATTTTTCGAGAATATCTCGCTGTGAGCTTTTGAAGCGTAGATAGTTCCGTTTCATTCGCGTAATTCTTGTCCTATTTCTCTTTTTTTCACTTTGTTAAAATTGTCAAAACATTCAAGACAGCAGCTATCTTCATTGTTAGAATCTCAATTCGCATCTTTCTTTTCTTCGTCAGATATATGATTCGTCTCTACGTACATAAAATGTATAGCTAAATTTAATTGCTAGAATATTAGTGTAGAAACTAATATTGTATCAGAATACATTTCGCCTTTGTATATCATTGAATTTTCGTACATACTTTCAGGATAGTCAAGTTCGACACGCCCTCACCCTCGAATTTTACAGGCCTCTTGTGAAAGAATACAAAATCTTTTCTTCCATTCTTTCGTAATAAGGCAATAGATGTTGATTATACAATGACATGTCTTTTCTTCTCTTTAGTGAAGCAGCCAAACAAAATTTCAGTTATTGTATTTTATGTCAATAATAATCCTAGACATGATAATATTATAAACAAATAAGTTTCTCTTTCAGAATCGTTTGATTCAGGTAGAAGGTAAACCGTTGATGACAAAGTACATTAACGTGCGGTATACACCCTTGAGTTTTTCAGAGAAATACGCCTCAGATATGTGATTTTCGTTGTTTTAGAAAAATATGACAATGCTGATGATCATTGCGTACATCTTTCTGATCTTTTGCTTTCCGTCTGTTCAACTAGTTCATTTCCAAGGTGGAACAGTATCATGGAAATTTATCAATTACACAAATACAAGTTCAAGAGTTGACGTGATGTTCACACAATCATATCAGTGGACGCTAGCTTCTACGCCTTGTAATCAGGCTACTATTTCAAATCAATCGCCACTATTACAAAGTACAGGTGGAATACTTAATTGTGTTACTGGTTCTAGTTCTTGTGGTGGTTATACTTCTTTAAGCGTTGGTGAATATTGTACTGATTTCAGTACCTTACTCGGATCCAGTTCAGGTCAGATCTCCACAATTAAAAGTATTGCAGCCGGTTCACAGTTTTGTGTGGCATTTCAAAGCGGAAACTGGATAGGAATACAAGTTTCTGGAATCTTTACGTAAGTTCTTGGCATCACAGAATGATTCGATTCGTTGATATATTTCAGAGAAGAATAATCTCAGTGCTTCGTGAAAATTACTGATTGATGTAACTCTGATTCATATGATGCATTCTATTAATTTCCTCAAAACTCATAGAAGACACTAAATCTACAAACCTCATCTTTTCTCACGAGTAGGTCAGAAAGGTAGTCCTTCGACTTTACGAGTTTCTCAGTATGATCTCTTCGTTCTAACTAACAAAAGTTCAGGAAAAAAATAAACAGATAAAACAGTTTCTGTGATATTTTGACCGATCCATATTAATACATCATTGTGGTGGACTTACTCTCACATTTTATCTTACAGTACTAGTGCGCTGTGGTCTATTGGAACTTGTGTCAATCTAACTGTCAGACCAAATGGAATGATTAATACACCACCCGTTGTTACAATTATTTCACGTATGTATAGACCGAAGTTTTTGTATCTTTCAAGTTCAGTTTCTATTATCCGAAAAGCCACAGTCAGAAATATTACGATGGTGTTAATCGATCTGTATCGATAATTTTTTCTTAAGAAATCGATTTTAGTTATGATACTACGGTAAGAGTTACAATCACTGGTATTTGACGATTATATAAAATTATTCGTCAGGCTCATTTATAAACAAAACAATTTTCATAGAAAACTTATTTTATTAAATTGCCTATCTAAGACATTTTTAAAACCCATTTTTTCCACCTCATGTCTTTGTAAATTTCGACAATAGTTGATATTAGTGATTTCCATTAGAAATGACACTTGAGTTTTGTACAAATGGCTATCGATTCAAATCGGTTAACAGTTACCATTTCGCAGGATTAACCGATCATTGATTGTTATTCGTTGTGTCCCTAATCAAAAGCATCTAAACTCTCATTCTAGGATCGCCCTATTCTTTTGAAAGAAGTTCTTTCTATATAGGCTTTCTGTTTTCGCGGTGAACTAACGTTAAACACATGTTTTCCTTTTCTTTTCTAGCTATTCGAGTAGCAATTAATAGTTCAATCCGTATAACGATTCCAACAATTGATGCTGACAATGATTTTACTCGGTAGCCTCTTATCTTCGCTATTTCCGACATTTCTTAGAGTTTTGCTATTCTATTTCCAGCTGTCGTTGGGCTAACAAAACGTCTACTTTTGACGAATGTGGTGGTGTTTGTCAAAGAGTACCAAGCACTTCACTTGACAATAATGGTTGCGTGCTGACATTCAATAGTACAGGCACTAAAGTGGGAGAATATTATGCAATTGCCTTGATGATTGAAGATTTTGCTACTCCATCGACTTCTATACCGTTTAGCAGTGTTCCTCTACAGTTCTTAATCACTATTATGAGCCCACCTATTTGTCCATTAAAACCCAAGATTAGTTCAACATTGTCACCATGCACAGCTATTGAAGTTGGAGTTCAATTTAACTACACACTGACCATTTCACAAGGATGTGTCGGAGCTAATGTGATAGATGTGTTTACTATGCCACCGCTGTATATGTATAAAGGAAGCATAACACAGGTTGGTACGACCAATGTTTGGACACTAACTGAAACATGGATACCAAAAGTTTCGCAACTTGGATCTCAAGTATACTGTGCCATAGCCACGGACAAGTATAATATGTCTTTAGTTATAGTAATTTCCTATTTTTTTATCTCTTAAACTTCTTCTAGTGCGGGTATTCAGTCAGATCAGTACTGTCTCACGTTCACGGTTGTTCCCGCTGGTCAAACTTCTTTGTGTAGGTCTAGAAAAAGGTTTTTTTTTCAAAATGTAATCTGTTTTGTTTAGGTCCAGGTGTAACTACTTCAACTACATCCACATCCACAACGTAAGTATATGTGTTTGCTAAGGCTTAATGAAATAGAAGTGAGAGTGAGGGTGCAGGTGACGTTGGTTCTCATTGTGTTGTCGCTCTCATTTACACCCACACCCACTCTCAAGATAGTGTACCTATATAATTACATTGATTCTTCATGACAGAGTTAATCAAAATTGTACACTTTTAGAACGAGTACAAGTGATATTACGACCACTGCAACAACAACGACTGGTAGCACTCTGACCAGTACAAGTAAGTTTAAAGAATGTTTCTCGATGAAATCAAATGATGTACCTTTGATTTCGAAGCGAAAATATCTAAGAATATAAACATACCAATGATCATTGGCTTATCACTATTAGGCTTCGGGACTCTGTTAACTCTCTGTTGTTGTTGTGGGTGGTGCTTATTGTAAGTTATTTTCCCTCGATGCTCGAATTTAACTGCACTGAAGACTTCCTATCTTCTAGCTGTTATCGACTGGGTCGTCGGCGTCACAGACAAAAAGCGAAGAAGAGCCAAGCGAAACATTTACTTCGTAGTGATCTATCATCATTAGGATTAACTTTACCTACGTCGTCATTATCCAACGAACAGAAATTCGTGCCAACACGTGGACGTCATTTTGACAAACATCATAAATCACATAAAGATGCTATGATTCATCCATTAAAGACCAGGAGTAGTGTAATAATCAATAGTTTGGTGAGAAATATAAGTAAGCTCAAAGATTCATCGTCTTCTGGCTCGAGTACCGATAGTTACAAAAACGAAAATAGTGAATTCAACGAACCATTGTCAACCAAAATAAATTCACTTGATGTAGAGCCATTCTCAAATGCCGACAAAATTTACAAGATCGATTGTTTCAGATTACCAAATACTGAAACAGTGAGTGTTAGCACCATACAATTACCGAGAGCAACACTACCAGCACCGATTGGTCAAGAGACACAGTCATCTAAATTGTACTGTCCAACGTCACAAACTTTGCTTTCAAACGACGGAACACTGTTAAAACTGAAACAAAATAATTCAATTACCATCACGAAGCAACTGAGATCAGTGGCGCGGAATCATAAAGATACATCGCGTATATCACACAAGTTTTTGTCATCAGCAAAAACCAGCAACAATTTGGCAGTTCGCATCATTAAAATCAACAGTTTGAATTTGCCATCGATAGTGTCCAATGGGTCAACTATGAAAACAGACATATAATCTGCAAGAGCAAATATCTTGCGAGAAACACAGATATGACTGCTTTTTTATGCTTCAAATCTCTTCTGTCCCATCCTATAAGTTTCTTGATTTATCCCATTTACCACGTGTTCTGAAAGAAATATATATAGATTTTAGTTTATTAAAAGCCATCTTGAAAATTCCAGTGGATGGATAGGTCTGAGTAAAAAAGACATACCATCACCCACGCCCTCAAACCAGGTTGATGACTAACCAGAGTTGTCAGACAATTTGAATTTTTGGGAAATTTCTAACTTTACAAATTGATTCGAATCGGATTATTTTTGAAAGTTTCCTCTTGAAAATTATGAAAGATTTTTACATTGCGACATCTTTATTCTCTTGTGATCATTAGTTAATTTGTTTTAACATGATGTATGTAGCCTACAAAGCAAAGATGATACTAAGCTCATATCACTTTTTCGGATTTCTTCAATTAGAACTATCATTATGTACAATGCATTAGATCTTTTCGTATAAGTTCTTGAGCTACTATCTTTGTACACATGACGTCCGTGAATAGCGTTCAGCTCACCATCTTCTACAAAAGATTTTAGAACAGATAAAGTAAAATACCTCCTTTGTAAAGAGGAAGAAACAAGCTCAGGGTCAGTGAATAAGACGAAATTCACCCTCAACTTCGAATTTCCCGACGTCAGAAATCCTTCGGTCGACCCTTACCCTGCCTATTAATAATTTATGTCTAGTTGACAGATAGTTAATTAATAGTTAATAATCAGTTAAAACTAATCTCAGACTCGAGTTCCTCGACCCCGAAAACCCTTCGGTCAACCCTTATGAAAAAGATTCTTTTTGCAAAAAAGTGAACCGTTGTCGCAAAAATAGGACAGATAGTTTTTACGGAAAAACTAATACCGGATCCACGATCCTCGACCTTGATTACCTCAGGTGAATCATTTCCGTATGGTCATCTCTAAGGTTTTATTGGTTTATAAAAAGCTGCAACCTGATTGGAGTGGACAAACTCACAAACTTTTAGCTTTTGAGCCACCGATTTTAGACCGCTATAACGCTTTCTTTCAGAAAAGCGAACAATGCTATCAATGCACAAGTTGCTGAGCAAGGTTTTGCTTATTTGTCTAAGTTCAAAACCTCGTTTAGTGGATACAACTATCCAAAATCAACAATATTTTTTACGATTCTTTTTCATCTTAAAAATTGTGCCGTAACTGGTTTTAGTTCTTTTGAAAAGTTAGTATAGAAACTTATTAACCGTAGTCGTAGTTTTTAAACTTTTTCAACCATTCTGATACGCTCTCTTTGTTCCATTCATACCGTTTCTAGTGAGCTTTTATCTCGTTATGAAAATGTCGCATAAAAAGGCACTAAAAAATAATACTTTTAAAATTTCTTCTACTAGCTAAATCTAATGAAGAGAATGAAAATAATGATAAATAGTTGAAATCTGCTTGTCTACTGAATTTTGCGGATTAATAATGCTAAATATCTGATATCTGCTTATCTGATCAACGTAAACACGGGTGGTAGGACATCAATAATTCAATAGGCATTCATTCTAAACTTCTTCGCACAATAAAATAAGTATTAAGATGCGAACTCGATTTTTCATGTTATCTCCAGTTAGCAAAATTTTGGAAATATGAAACTTGTCAAATTTGTATATTTTCAAAATTATGACAGACGAGTTTTGAAAATCAGTACCAATTTGATATTTGCCACTCCTTGAAAATTTTAGAACGTTATTTTTGAAAACTAATAATAATTGAAGATTTTCCACTCCATGCAGATCATGTTCTTTTTGTGAGCTTCAAAGTTTAAATACATTTACATGAATATGAACAGTTAAAAATCACTTTAATTTTTGAATTTTTTAAAAGTCTATAGGTTTAAAACGATCAAATTTCTTAAAACATCTTTCTTTTGCTTTCAAGCATTTACAGCTGTCTTCTACTTTGCCATAAATAGTCGCTAGAATACTATTTAATAATAACTTCAAAACACGCATTTTTGCGTTCTGTTCCGATATGTGGAAAAATTTTATTCCCAGACAAAGTGGCATACAAGAATGAGCGTCTAAAATATCTGAACAAAACTGTCGGACGCAACTGAAAGATATGACTATCACATCTATATAAATAAAGAGGAAAGGAAAAAGGCGTCACTTATTTGCGTTATATTTTATAACATGAATAACAACAGTATACATGTTACGTTATTTGAAGATTTACCAGTTGAAATTTTATTAAAAATCTTTCATTTACTCTCACTTGACGAACTTGTAACAAAATTTCTTGGTCTCAATACTTATATTAATTTGGTAATTCAATCTTTAACACATATCAAACATACAATAATCAATAATGACACTAACGCTATTGATCTTCGACATTTATTTGCAACTCAGATCGATCGATTGATTATTACACGTTCTCCATCAGTTGATTTCACTTCGTTAAATAATTTACGATCACTCACAATAAAATATGGCACAGTTAAGCAATTATATGATATTTTGCCACAGCATTTTCCTCGATTAGAGATCCTACACATTAACGGACGTAAGTCATGAAATTGTTTGACGAACTTCTAAAGTTTCTGAAATATAAGTCTGAACAAAAATGGCAAATTTTTAATATTTCGTTTTGCTTCTAGTAGATGATGTGTCTGCTGCTAATGCAAGAGAAAGAATAATCTCTGATTTATTCAAAATTATCTTTTCTAATCGATTTCCGCGACTTCGAATATGCACGGCAACACAAATTGGAATTCTAGTATCGAAACCAGAGTGGACGAAATCACCTGCTCTTCTATATCTACAACTAGATTCAGCAACGGCACATGTTCGTGATCAAATTTACTCTACATGTCCAAATCTACGATCGTTCAAAAGTTTCTTACCTCCAATCTCAGCAGTTTCATTATCAACGTTCAGTCCTTACGCGAAGCGTTTGCATTACGACCTCATGAAAATACAACAATGGAAATCTGAAAATCGGTTTATACTTGATTATTGTTCGACGTTCTACAATGGTAGACCTCCGTCTCACTTCGGCGACCTGCCAACAATTACTCGGCTCTTTGATAGTACAGATAATATTTTTATTTTGGGCCGAATTCTACCAAATAATACTCCATATAATTCCGGTTCATTTCTCATCAAAATAACGGTACTCAGTGATTACCCGTTTCAGTCGCCTGTAGGATGTTTTTTGGATCCAATCTATCATCCAAATGTTCGGGCGAATGGTAGACACTGCTGCAACTGGATAGGTCCCCATTTCCAATGGACACCAACTTTTACACTAGTCAACCTTGTCAATAGTATCATTCATATCATTGAGAATCCTGACTTACAAAATCATCGCGATATTGACATTGCTAACGAATACCAAAATAACTACGAACGATTCTATGATAAAGCATTGAAGTGTACATTGAAATATGGACGTCCACGTATTTAATCTCCTTACAATAAATGATATTAAGAGATAAGAGACGACTTCAATAAATTAAGTATGGATTATCTTTCATCTACTCTTCAAAGTTGATAAACATTGAAAACTGATGCCAATACATTAAACGTCTTAGAGATGTTTCGAGCGATGAAAGATTAGGGGAGGACGTGCTTTAAAAAAGCTTTTAGTGCAATCCCTTGTAGAATTCAAAATGTGAAACGGGATCAGTTCAGTTTTTCTGTTTTAATAGAGTTTCATGGCTATTATAGGTTTCTGGCATGGCTTTCTAATAACTAGAATCAGTTTGAACTCGAGTCGTTTAATATGAACCGTATTTCGCAAAATACGTTCTTATGTGGTCTTTTATAATATTTTTACTGCATTTGTTATGATTTCTGAGAAAAGATCTACCAAGGCTTTCAAATTAGTGATCCATATTTGACATATAGTATAGATTTCAAGATGAAATATTCAACCGATGGTTAGTTTATCAAATATCAAACACTTGGCTCTCGTAGATAATTTAGAATTTTAGCCAAGGGGGATAAAGCGAACTTCTGTACTTCCCGGTACTTCTTCGTACTTCTGTACAGCTCTTTCTGTCCACGTCATTTTTTATAAGCATTTTAGATAAATTAGTTAGCACTTCAAAATAAATAACGCTCGTCGAGGGAGACTCGCATTACCCTCGACTGATTGGGTTATATTTCAACTATTTTTGCAGTCTTTTTTTTCAATTATTTGAATATTCGACTGCTTTCAAAACTCTTCTGTTCATCCTCACTGAAATGATGTCCCTTCAGAACCCTTTTACTCACTCGCAAGTATACGAATACTCGAATAATTAAACGGAAGGGTAGACTGTTGAATTTAAGTTTTAAACTATAGATATTTGGTAGTATGACAGTCTATGATTGTATACTTTTCCTCTTCTCTCTTCTCTTCCTCTTCATATACAACAATTATCTGCTTTCTTCCTTCCTATATGAACTTCGACATTAGCTTCTTAATCCATATACCCAACATAGAGATATTGACAGGTTTACCTCTTCTTATTATGTAACATTCATATGATATTAATATCAGAAACGCACTCTTATGTACGACTGTTTCTGCTCTCTGT